GGGGGGGGGGGGAGGGGGGTCGCGCTTCGCGTTGCGTTGCATTGTATTGCGTTACGTTGCGTTACGTTCGAGCACGAAATTGCGAACTAGCGGCGAATGCCGGCGAAACATTCCCGCATAGACGACGACGTCGCCGTCTCCACGAGCGCTGACCCTAATTATGTTTACACGCTTGCATGGGACTGCCGTCTCGCGGCGCGCGAAAGTAAATCAACGACGACGTCGTCTCCTCGGCGGCGGTCGTGAATTCCTATTGACCGTGCACGAGGTAGCGCGACTGGACAAGCGTCATCGTCGACGAATTAGACGCACGCGGCCGCGGCAAATATAGCTGGAATAAGAAGACAGCGAGACGATGAGGGAAGAGCAGGAAGGGGAGGAGGAAGAGGGCTTGGCCAGCCGCCAGACGCGAGGGGTCACCGGCGATCGAGAAATTCGCGAGATTGCAAATCCTCGAAGATCGCGAATCGCAGATGAGCCGCGTTATCAGCCTCAGGTAGGACCGTGGTTTTCTCTCTCTCTCTCTTTCCCTCTAACCGCCATTCTACTCCTCCGCCCACGAATGACGGCATCCGTCCGCGGCTCGAGAGAGCTATGTATAGCCACACATCACCGTCGGTCAATAGTTTCGAGAGTGCAACCTACTTTTATGAAATGGAATTAAAAGTTTTCCGATACCGTTCCACTTAACTCCGCCCTGTAAATACCGCCGTTGTCTCGCGGAACGTCGCAGTATTGCACGGAATGACGGGGTATCGACAGCTGAAATATCCATCCGGAAGATAAAAAGGACCCACCGGTTCGCAAAATGAAACGATAAGTTAGTTAATTTCCAAGCACTTATTTCGACTTTCTGTCCTCCGGACATTTGGGCGAAGCGAACGCGCTCTCCGTCGTAAGCACAAAGTGCAACAAGTGGCGCGAGTGACGTGAAAAAAGGATCTATAAAAGTCACTAACAAGAATGTAATTACCGAGTCACAAAGGGGACCCCGGGAGACGCTTCGAGCAAGCGGAATTCAAAGTGGATTTATTTTGCGCGCCTGGCAGATTTACTAGCTTTACAAACGACGCGCGCCTCGCGATAAAGATTAAGAAAGTCCTGACCGGAGAGCGACCCGGTCACACGTATGGATCCTGGTGGAGAAGATGCAGCGCACCTGTGGCAAAAATTGATCAAATTCCCGAGCAGTTCCTATGATCGCATGCCAGAGATGATTCCCGAGGGTTCATGCGAGGAACACGAGCGACTGCCTGGTTGGCCGAAGGCCCTGGCGGCTATCCAACTCTCGCTGGAGAGTCCAGGGATTTGCCTGAAAGCCAGTCCGCGGAAGAAGACGATACACCGGCGCCGAGAAAACACAAAGAGACACGGAGCGAAGCGTCCCTTTCCCTCCCGTTTCCGAGTTACTAATTGTCATCCCTCGACTAAAGCTTCCTAATGCGAGAACCGACGGAGGAAGAAAGAGGAGAAGGAGGAGGCGGAAGGAGAAGGAGAAGAAGAAGGAAAAGGAGACTGATCAGCACGTAGCCGAGACGGAAAGAAAATATTGGGATAACAGCTACGAGTCCGTAGGCTGGTAGATAAGCTGAAGCTTGGAGCCTGGCCAAATATTTACGTCGTATTCCGGTGTATCGTGACAGATCGGAGACACGACGACCGTGACATTGTTCGGCGAAACAACGGCGGAAATGACGCAGCGTAACGGCGGGAGCCGATGAGATCGGGGGGGTACCAATGTTCCTAGCGATAGTTCTTCGCTGTCGTTCGTCAAGGGAGCATAAAACGGGGAACAGGTAATGTTTTGAGTCTGCAAACGGAAACGTGATAAACGCGCATTTCTTTCGCAGATGTGAGAGAATTCGCCTGTTATCGCCACACACAGTTAACAACGATAATTAATAATAAACATCGTGAGATACTCGCTGAGCTTGCAGCAACTACACACGTACGTCGAGGATTTTGATGGAAATCCGCGACTTCGTGTGTGTTTTTTTTTCCTTCTTTCGAACGTGTTAATTTACGAGTTAATTCACGACCGACCCCCGTCGTCCGTCCATAATCGGTAAGATAATGGAATCGCGATAATTCTCGATGCGCCAGTCGATTGGCTCCTGGCCCTGGCCGAGGTCCAGTCCGTCCCCAGAGGGAGATCACGGTGCATACTCTTCCTGAGGAGACATAATGCGCCCGTTGGCCGGCCAAAAATGCGGCCAGACGTATTTATTTCGTGCGAGAAGGAGACGCCGCTCGCTCGACTATCCGTTTACTCGTGTTTGCGAGGCTCCCAAAGTGCGACAGTTTTGCAATGCACGCGCGCGACTGCCGGCGGCATTGGCTGGCCGGATAAAGAAGCGCATAATTAATAAAAGTCTGTGAAATCAGCGTCGGCCATGTCCGAATTGCAACGTGACGAACCGGTAACGATCGGTGTGTCACGGTAATAGCTTCCATTAGAAGGATGAAGAGAGAGAAGATTATCGCTCGACGTGCTGATTAAATTCTTGGTGGATTTGGGACGATGCGTAGAAATGAAAGTCGTTTTGAACGACTCACCGGAGAATCTGGTAATATATCAAAAAGATGGCTGTTAATATGAGAACTAAAATTATGTGGCGCGGTGAAATAAAATAAAAAGCGTTTTGAATTATCACAGGATTGAAGATAAATCGTGAATATTCGGGAAAATGGTAAAAACGTTACATTAAAATAACAAGAAACAAAATTAGCTCGCGAAGAAGAAATCACGATATTTACAACCACCTTTTTGGACCGGTTCTTGTTTATCATCTCACCGGTACTCGAGTGCACACGTAATTAGTGTACGGCCCGTGTTTGTTTTCACGATCAATCTCTAGACGAGATCATTTTCACCCTGTTGTAGCAACAAGCGGAAACGGGTCGGAGGGAAAAAATATGAGAGGAGATGTGGGTTGAGAAAGAAAGAGAGGAAGAGGGGGAGGAACCCCTGGATATACCGTGACGATGTCGGCATCATCGTCGGGACGAAAAAACGCCGGTATAGTGAGATTTGTCACGGGAATATTTTCTCGTACCGACGACGGGGGTTCCATTTAGGGACGCGGTGGGAGAATCAGATCCTGAGAGTCGACGGAGAGTTGGGAAACTCTCTAAGAGAAAGAAAGAGAGAAAGAGAGAGGGGAGGTGAAAAATAAGGCGCATCGATGGCGTAAAGAGAGTCGAACTTCAAACGAATAGGGCTTCAAGCGGCCGAGTATATGCATTCAAATATGCAGGAATATGCAGTAATTTCTACGCCGCATTTTAATATAAACTTGTGAACGTGTATACGTGTATGTGTAGTGTACGTGTAGGGATGTGTTTGCAAGTTGGTCCTTTATTTCTTCCGCTTCCTGACCTCGGGATTTTCTTTCACAACCAACCCAATTTGCGCCGTTTCGTTACTCGCGCGAGTTCTCCGACCTGGGCTCAGGTTGCGCTACGTTATTCAGTCGAGAATAATCGTGCGATAAGTCACAGAAACAATGGAATGCATTTCCACTAATGACTCATCTCATATTTTGCGATAAGCCTGGTAAACATGTATATTATATGAAGCAATTGAAAAATAGCATTGGACGAATAATTCTGTCGAACACTTCCGGCTTCAGTCTGATGTATAAGAGCGAACAGTTGAGAGATATTGCGTTTGTGTAAATATATTTATTGGAGATTACGATTAGATAGACCGGGAGAAAAATGTTTGATGTCTAGTATGTAACAGATAAGAAAGATACGGCGAATATGATGAATATTTGAAAACACCATTTTTTTTCATTGCTCCCCGAACAATCTGTTGCTTTCACGTAGAAAAGAAAATGCTAAATCCAAGTAATAATTATTCCAACACTCCGTAACAAAGTTTTACTCGGATTAAGTAAATATTATTTATATATATGTAGCACTTTTTCTACATTCAAGTAATAAACAATTATTTTAAAGAGAGCTTACTAAGGAGTATCGGAGTGATTATTTACTTAAATCTTTTTTTCCTGTATTATTTTATCACTTATCATATGTACATAACCGTTTTTATTATCGTTCTGTTATACGTATTTTATTTTTCGGGCGACCTTTGAGATGCAGACGAATTAATCGACTGAATAAAATAAAATTGGCCCCGAGCCGTTAAAGAGATTCCTGAAATTTGGCATCTCCGACTATCGCACTAATACCCAGAAGGCACCAGATAGCGCGGATTGGAAAACTTGGCAGGGGCGCGATCGCTCGCGAAAAGATCCGCGCATCGACTAGGACATCGGCGTCTAGCTGATAGGATTAATTACCAAGACGGCGGACATTAATTACTCGTGCTACGACGAGCGATATTGCACCTCGTGTGCGATAATTAATTACGAGCAGAGACGGCGGTAGGTGACGTGTTCCCAGGAACAGGAGGGTAGGCAGACTTGTGAGCGCCGAGTCGGACGACGGACTAAATAAACTTTGACACTTGTCCCGTGAAAAGCTATTCTGATACTTTCTTTTTTTCTATTCTCCTTTTCTTCCTCTCTCTCTCTCTCTCTCTCTCTCTTTCTATCTCTGAAAATAGCGCTTCGCGATAATTTCACGCGGCTGACGCAATTATCGCGACACGCTCGTCGAATTGCACGGCGTCGGCGGGGCTTCGCCGCTTTCGCGGGAGCGTTTCCGTATTTATAAAGAAAAAAAAAAAACATAAGAACGGGAATGACTTTCATTTATATGTATCTTGTAATTTTTTACCACGCCGTAAGTGCGAGTATTTTTCCCCCGAAAAAGTAAGAAAGACCAGCGTGATGGGTCTTCTCTCAGTTCGATTTTACCCGACTGGTAGTTAACGGCTCGACTTGCGACGAGTCGTTAAACCGCTGGAAAACGGATCCCTCCCCACCCCTCCCCGATCGCCGAGGTTGAATTCCCCGGACAAAAGTAACCGCATCGTGCCGATTTTTCCCTTTTCGCGGATATATCTAACACAAAGAAGGGGGAGACATGCAGGGCAGAGAGCCCGGGATGGAGCTCGGGGGAGGTTACAACGCAAATCGAGAGTCGCTTTAGCCGATAACCGCGAACGTTTCGCTTGTCATCGAGGAATTAAAACGCTCGTGGTAATCGCGCGACGGTCCTTTTAAACCGTCCCCCGTCTTGCCGACCGTTCTATCCTTTCTCTCGATTTCCGGTCGGAATTCCACGAGAAACCTTCTCTGCCCCGGTTCACGTGAATACTCTTATGAAAACTCGGCAAACGGCGCGAGATGATCTGCAAGGAAAGATACGAGGAGAGAATTTTGCAACACGACCCCGAAAGTTGCGCGGAGTATCGAGACACCGACGATCGCACCCTCCCTCCTCATCCTTCTTGCCGAATATCCGATACTCGCCAACTATTCGCGACGGAATCCGTGCGTGCAACTTCCTCCGTCTCGGCGAAAATCACCCGGATTTATCGGCCGAAAAATACCGTCGACGGGGGCTCTCCGAGTGCGAGAACGGAATCGTTATCTTGCAAATCGATGCAAATTCAACGTGGGACATTTAACGACGAACGTCAAAAACGTGAAATGGCGACGAATCGCGAAAAAAACGACGATTCTCCGTCGAATCTATCTTTCTCGTCGGCGAAAATCAGCTGTGATTTTGTCGCCGGATAACCGATAAAAAGAAATAAAAAAAAAAAGCAAAAGAAAAATTTGCCATTCTTGCGAGTGGTACGCGGCCTGAGCATGTAAAAATTTGACGCGAAGATCGCGCGAAGAAGAGCAGCAATTTGTAATTTTTGGCGACGTGTCAAGCGCGCGTACGTCTCGGCAGAGGTTGTCCGACTCGAAAATCACAAACTCGAAGACGCTTCCGATAATATTTTTGCATGCAGGAGCGACGTTTCAATTCACATCCAGCGAGACAGAATGCGCGACTCACAATGACGAATAGCTCAGCATCGCTTGATAGTGACATTATCTCAAGAGACACGGTTACTTGACCCTTAAATGCGCGTCTTGTTGCAGGTGAAGCTTATTGCAATAACACTAACGAAGTGTGATAATGATAGCGATCTTCAATCTCATCCTCTCTGTTCTCGTTTCCTCTTTTATTTTTTAATGTCGTTCTAAATTCAAGTTCGCATCGTCGAATGATGCTAAGTCGCAGTGCTTACTCGCACACTTCCGAAGAAAGACTTGTGGAAAATTTCCCGCGATTTTCCGGTGTCGTACATAACGTCTTTAAATCCTCACATACAATAAAAAAGGCACTTTTACCGGCAAATTTTGAATTTTGCCTTTACTATCGTACGGGTTTTATAAGATCTTTCGGTAGTACACATCACACGTAAAGTTCAGAATTAAAAGTTTCAAACGTCAGACTTGAGGAAATACCGAAAGGAGAGGGGGAATTTTCTCACACAACTCTTGAAATTTCCAAGTAAAATAAAAAAGCACAGTTTTACCTGTGGATTTTAAGTACCTTTGTTTGTCGCACGGGTTTCCTAATGTTTCTCAGCGGTACAATCGCGTGAAACTCAAAATCCCGGAAGTTTCAAACGCTCGACTGGAAAAGGTACGGAAAGGAGAATTTTCGGGCTACTCCCAAAATAAAGGCGGGGAAAAATGTCCCTCGACATTTTCAACGAGAGAATTGTCCGAAACGTTGAAAGTTCTCTACGAACCCCCCGATCTTGCCGGCAAAGGATAGGATCTTTTCGAGAAACTCCTCTGTTCTCTGACCTTTTACCACTAGCGGGCACACTCCGCGCGACGCAAATTCTAATTCTAATACACTCTTCGCTGCTCTAATTCCCCACCTATAGGGGGACACGAGTGTCTCGGCATTGTACGGAGGAGAGCCCGGTCCGATCATTGTGACAGAATAGGAGCCACGTTGCGTGCCAGAACGTTATACGGTCGGTCACAATGTGTCGAAAGCGGTCGGTGTGCGCGTCTCGTAAATAATTCGCGCGTATTGTCAAAAATGGAACGCTCTCCGAAGTGATGTTGAGGATCGCGGAATGACGCGTCCGAGATTTATCGTCGGCATGCCCCGAGCCAAATAATTATGTCGTTTTCTCGGAACACCGACGGATACGTTATTATTATGCGGACCGAAGTGATAATCGACGGGTGGATGCTTAGATATTCGCGCACTTATTCGTCGCCCCGATTGTCAGAGTGTCCTGGTGTTCTCGACTGTCGGAGTCCCCTCCCCCGTAATGAAAAACGAGAAATAAATGACGAAATGCTCGATAATGAACATAGAAAACGTGTTGTTGGTATTTTTAATGCTAAATTGAAATTTAAAGGCGTGCACTTTACAAACAATGCGAAATCAGGCGCGCTCGATGTGTTCGGAACTGGAGCAAGCGACAAGTGTGCAAGTTTTCGCTCCGAGAGTCCAATGCGCGACTCGAGAAACCGATATCAATTCATACATTCGGGGGTAATGGGGGGGGAGGGGGGGAGAGGGGAGGTTATTCGACACGACGAGATCTCACGGACGTACATACACACATCGTACATAGGTGGCGATTTCACCGTGGCGAATTTTCCGTCCTCGATATCGCGCGCATTATCCCCTTACCTCTGCTTCTCCAATTTCGCGGTAAGTCGGGTAATTAGGCGTGCCAATATCCGCAATGAGAAACGAAGAAAGAGAGGATCCGTCGGAGCGAGGGGCGAATTCAGATCAAGCTGTGGGACCGTTCATCGGCCGGCGAATAAAATACCGTCCTTCGGGAAATGTCGCGAAATCAGTTGGATTTCTCGCGAATTCTCGCGCTACTTCTCGCTTGTAACCTTTCCAGCGAGACGTTTCGCGTCTCGCGGACAAAAAATCGAGAAAAGCGGGTGATGGGCGAGCGAGTGGAACCGTCGGATCGAGCCACGCAAGGCTGCTTTATAAACACGGTTAAACGCATTCGAGCGAAGAGGTGCGTAGTGTAACTCGATGAAACCATTGTGCCAATATAACGAATAGCCTTACCTTCCCCTGCATAATCAGCCGGATGGTCAGGGTGACCGAGGGATCATCGTTCAGCACCGGCTTGTTGTCCATGCCGTCCATTGCGAGGTTACGGATCCTGTGGCTTCGATGGGAGACTTTCTCGGAGGGGAGGGGTGCGGAGGAGGGCGAGGAGGACAGGGGAGAGGTTAGACGAGTGATTTTGGCCGGGGGAGTCTCGGGGGACGTGCTTCTCAAGCGTTCCCAGATATGCTCAGTCCTTGCACTGAAATCAGAGACACGCGTCCGTTGTGAAATCTGGCTTGCAAAATTAAACGGGGCGATGTCGCGATGTCACATCACACGGCCGGAACAGTCAGGAAGGTCGCTTCTTCGAACGGTCCGTGTCGCAATATTGTGGGCAATATTGACAGTATCGCGAACACACCTGGTATCTTATCGCGATTTTTGATAAACGTATTTACACGCCTCGTCTATTTACTTTATCTCGCGCTTGGTTTATGAAAATTATTTAGCCGAACTATGCTTATACATGCAGAGTAAAATATTTCGAATAATTATTAAAAACGGTCCACCGAAATTTCACGTCACTTCGACACGAGGGGAAAGTGTTAAAAAGTACATGGGTATAAAATGTAAAATTAACGCAAATGAATACGTGGATTTAACATTATATTTGTATATTTTTTAACGCACACTCCACATTAAAGTAACACGAAATTTCAACGAACTGTTTTTAACACAAAATTTTCTACCGTGTGTGCACGTTCGATGCGACCGTTCCGACTGTCTCGAGCGGTGTATTAAATTATCGGAAAGATTCAGCAAAGAGATTAAAGGCAAGAGAAAAGGGAGGTGAAAAAATCGCGTAAAATCGAAATAATTAAAAGGGAGATACTTGGATTCGACTTCCAAAGTAAACTCGTGAAGCCGATAAAATTCGCGAACTCTCACAAACCCGACGAGAGAGATCACCGGCGCAATTTATTTATCAGCGCGTTGAGAATCCGCGGAAACGAACGGTCTGGAGCGAACTTGCGAAATTAGCATAACAATAGCGCGACCCGCCGGCGTTGGTGCAGCGCGATTTCGGGTATGTGATACACCGCTTTATTAAGTTAGGTGAATCGGGAAATTATCGGAGGTACCAGAATCTGCGAATAAATTCGGTCTTGCCACACTACCAGGAGCGTTCGGCAAACAGAGACGAGTCGAGTCTGTCTGCTTCCAGTATTCCCAATCGTCTCGCCCTGTTCATCGGTGACAACGTTACTCGTCATTGCGACACGATAGAACAGAGGAACGTCTCTCGCAAATCCACCGAATACTATAATTTACACGTCATAGGGATCTTCCCCCTTTCAGAGTCCCAAGATCCATGAAGCGAAGCGTTATTATTCGCAGCGAAATGAACGTCGTTTTCCCGATTCACAGTCAATTCAATCGGCGATCACATTTCGGCGTGACGCGCCCAACACTTTCACTCGGCAATCGGCGAAACGAAAATGAAATTTGACCGCCACCAGCACAGCACCATCGGCGCGAGGAACGCTCGCGTCCCGGACACTTGGCGAAATCCAACGTGGGGGCGTTTTCGCGAACTCCCGCGCGACATCGACGCGTTGAAAATCGCCGGCTCGTCGGGCAAACGTCACACGCGCGACGTGAACTTGATTTCGTCCTGGCGATAAAACTGCGGAATGAAGACGCGTGATTCGGCCGTCGATTCGCGATTAATTCATCAACGCGAGATGCACGGAGAGAGGTGGAACGGCAATATTGCAAGTGAGGCCGGGACAATTATCCTTTCTGGCAGAAAAGGAAGAAAAACGCGAGAGAGAAGGAGGAATAGAAATTATACGGTGAAACGGTAATTAAAATTAAAATATTACTAATTACTTCCCGAATTAAACTCGCGCGTTGAAATTTTTCTCGCGAGCAGCCCGAGTCCTCTCTCGCGCGCGCGCGTCGTTCGAAAAACCGGGGAGAGGCGAAAGCTCGCGACGAAAAGGAAAGGAGGCGAAAAAACTAAGAGCCGAAACGAGAGAGGGTCGAAAGAGTTCGCGGGCGCGATCGAGCGGCGCATTCCGCGCGCATTATTTTTCAGCCGGCTAATGTTAATTGCAGTCGCAGTCGCCACCGCCTCCGCCGCCACGGTTGTCGGCGGAACCGGCGATCGATAGGCTGCTGCAAATGCAGCGGCGGAGAGAACTTCTCTGCCGAGATGTAGGTACCGCCGTTCTCTCTCTCTCTCTCTCTCTCTCTAAAGGAAAACAGAAGAGGGAGGAAGAAAGAGAGAAGGGGGCCCTCACTGAATCCCTTCTCTCTCTCCCTATCTTTCTCTCTCTTGCTCTTTCATTGAGGGGCCCCTACGAGCGGCGCGGCTACGATACAGGACAGGTTTGCTCGGTGTCGGTCCGTTACGAAGTGCAGAACGACGCGTTTCTGCTGGCGCGCGCATACACACGCACACGCGCGTTCCCCGCGCTCTCTCGCGCGAGAGAACCGCGGACTTCCCGTAAGAAAATCGCTCAGAATTTTCCGCCGCTGAGCGCGCGCGTGCAAACCGGGAGGAGATCCGCGATAATCACGCGCCGAGCCCGGAGTTTCCGGATGCGCTCGCTCGCTCGAAACGACGCGCATTCGCACGGCGAGCGATCCGCTCGGAGCTTCAGTTCCCGATCGGCACGACTCGAGTTTAATTTTAAATATGACATTACATCTGCGAAAGAAACGAGGGACTTCGCGCACGAAGTCCAGAGTTCCTAACGCGAGCTCGTGATCGCCGAGTGATGATCATCGTTTCAAGTTCCGAATCGATAAGCTTCTAAGCGCGGAATCACGTTCGAGATTTCGGACGGAGTGTGTATGTGTGTGTGTGTGTGTGTGTGTGAGTGCGGAGAAGCAGCATATTGTCGGGATTTCCCGCTGCAAACGTCGTTTGTACGAACGGTAGAACCGGGGAAGAGCGCGATAAAAAGCCATGTAAAGACCGAAGTTTTCGCTGAATGCACGCGGCGCTACGAACTCCGCGCGCGAATCCTCGAGAACGGAGCTCACCCGATCGATAAATGTCCGTATCATACGTGACGTCACATTTAAGAGAAACCAGGCGATGAAAACGTGCATAGAGTCCGAAGTTTCCAACGCTTCCACACGAGACACGGATTCGCGCGTTTCTCCCGTACGGAGCTTCAGATCGATGGAACACCATCTGGGCGCGACGTTACATTCAAAGGAGAAATTTGCGATGAAAAATGTGCGGGATACAAAAAAAAAAAAAAAAGAAAAATAAAGCTTTCCAACGCTCGTCCCGGCGCGGGCAATTTTCCTTCGTCGGAGCGACGGAATCGACGTCCACTTTAAATAGCGCGAGATTACATCGTGTTCGAGGTGGACTGGCTTGAAACGAAAAATCCGAACGGGGAAACGGCTCCGAGGAGCGAAACGTTATGTAAATCTCCCGCGCTGACGTCGCGCGCGAGCCTTCGTTTCAGACGTCTCCAACGGTTCGCGAAATGTTGCGGCTCGTAACGGACTCGTCGCGCACTCGAGACGCAATAAAAGCGAGGAAGTCGAGGACACGCGTGCGTCGCATTTTCTTCCACGTTGCGTACGTTTATCGCGCTTCGCCGACAGCTTTGTGCAGAAGTTCACTTGGTCACTTTAGTTCCGCGCGCAACTTTCCGAGCGAGTCGTCGTCGTCGTTGTTCTCAGGTCGCGCAACTTGCCGCCACCGCGCATTAGCTTTTGCGCGACGATTCGTGAGAGCGACTCTACGAGATTTCCAGCATTTTCCGACCTAATTATGCCCGTTACGATCCCGCGTATATCACCGAAGCTATTTGCCGTGCGGCAAGCGCTCTCTCTCTCTCTCTTTCCAGCTATTCATTTTATTCACATAGCCGCAATTGTAATTATCGTCGGATTATTCACGCAAATTAGCGATGCGTTTACGATTTAATAATTCCGCGCGGATATCCTTCTCTATATTCAATTTTACACGCGACCTGTGTGCACGGCGCTTTTTATGTACAGTATATTCGCACGGAATAAAGCGTTACTTTTTTTTTACAATTCTGTAGAAATTAATGGAACAAGCGTAGCGTGGGGAGACGTGATAAACGGCGCGCGTCGCACTTATCGGAAACGGAGACACACGCAGCGTTATCCTTCCCTTTGTCTCTCTCTCTCTCTCTGCCTGTCTTCTAATCGGCCATGCAGGCGACTGCAGTCGTTTCGCTCTGCTGCAGTCCGTGCGATGCAATTGGACTGTGGAATTTAGTGCAATCCGCGAGCGCGTTCCGTTACGCGTGCGTTTAGCATAAGCGGAGTTTAATGACGCGGCCCCGCCGAAAGGCCAATCGTATAAATCAGAATTACGGTTGTTACCGTCGGCGTTCTTCTCAATTATTCGTCGATACCCATTCGGAGGTCTCCGCCGTAAGACGACGCCGCGGGTCGTTGCACGCACGTCGCTGCAAAACCGCGAAAGACAATTCGCGAACCAACGTCTCTCCCTCTCTCTCTCTCTGTTTGTCTAAAGAGATCCGACGCACGACCTTATGGATGATATGTCGCCGCATCGTTCATCGCTCCTGCGAGCGAGACTTTCTCGCCCGCGTCGCGGAATGTGGCCGTTCTCGCGCGTCGATCTCGTTTCTCTCGTATCCGACACGAGGAGAGAGAGACGTCGACGCAGCACAATGTTCGGCCGACGGAGCGATACGGATTCCGCGGCGCTCGAGATAAACAGGTTTTTATGTAACCCGGGCATAAACCGGCTCTGCTCTCGTGTCATTACGCGCGCGTAAACGTACGCATGGGAACGCGCCGTTTCTGACCCCCGTCGATCCCCGGAATAGGCCATTTAATGGCGAATTATCTAATCCTCCTCGGTCGCGCCGCAGCGTGGAGACACGTGGATCTCCGGCCGTCTCTCTCTCTCTCTCTCTCTCTCTCTCTCGTGCGAACTCGAAATTTTTCTTCTTTAATCCTGAGACCCATTTGCAACTTTTATTACTTCCCGCAGCACTCCTGCTCTCGCACGATCCCGACGATGCTTCTCTCTCTTTCTCTCGAGAGGCGTACCACTCGCGGCGTATCTCGAAGCCACGAGACACCCTATTAATTCAGTTCCTACACGTTCTTCCTTCCCCGCGCTCCTCGAGACACACGTGCGTCACTCACCGACCGACCGACCGACCGACGTAAACCCGACGCGCGTAATCGGCTTCCTTTCGTCCGATCTCCCGTGCCGACGACGAACAACAACGGTCGACCGTTCCAACTATCAGCGAGCAGCAGATAACCGTTCGCAATTGACCATTTACCAGCTACCGCGGGTATCTGTTCAAGGGCTCGGGAACGTTTCATCGCGATTGTCTCGAGGCCGTGGACTCCGGCCGAAATTCATCCTTCGCTACGGAGTCTCGACGAAGCGAGACCGGGCCTCTCTTTCCCTTCTTTCTCGCGCACTTGTGCGAAGTCAAATCCGGAGAAGTCAGGTAGTAACGTAATAACGGTTGGGGCGGACTGAGGACTCGGGGATTTGTTAAGGGGCGCCGATGCGACTGTCCGAGCGATCGGAGAATTTCCTCTCCGAATGCGAGCGAGCGAGTGGAGAGAACGAATGAGGAATAATTGCAGCGCGGCGGGTCAGAAAACGGCATTGTTCGGCGGTGAAAAAAAGCACGCATTCGGCGCGTATCGAGCGCGTGGAAAAAGGCACGCAGATGCGAGAGTCGTCGACCAGAAGCGGCGGTACAGTCGCAGCAAAAAGAAAACCGACGGCGTGAGTTTGATATATCGTTTTCTCTATCTTTCTCTTTCTCTCTCTCCCTCTTTCTCGCTGTTCCTCGTCGCCTCAATAGCTGCCTGTCGGAAACTGGTCGCACTGAGCAACGTTAATTCCGCACGAAAATTACTACCCCGCTCGTCGAGCTCGAAAGAAGGATCACGTTGCAAACTCCGCATGACGACGAGAGAGAGAGAGAGAGAAAGAAAACCCGAGACAAATGACGTGGAAATTAAATATCTAATATTCTCGTGAATCCACGACGAAAACCGCACTACACCGAGGGTAATCGCAAAACCGGCTCGTGCTACGTTCACATTCGCTGATGAAATTCTCATTTTTTTTTCGTTGCCGAAATTAAAAATGCAGTCACGCGAGAGGAATTAACCGTTCGATTAAAAAATCATTAGATCGGCGGACATGTTCGACGATGCGAACCGATGCCGGTTATAGGTCCAAGTTGAAGCAGCCGAGTCGTCTCCACATCGCGAACAGAAGCGCGGCGGGGAGGGGAGCGGCGGCATATCGCCGGCACAGTAGTAGTTAATCCAGACCGTCGGTGCAACTGGGTGCATGCGAGAGAACCGATCGTTCGATCTGGCCCGCCGCCTCGCGCCGTATCGACTCGCTCGGCCGAGAGAGCGCCCTAAGAGATACGAGTTGTCGACGTCGCTATCGACATGTAAGCGAGCGAGCGAGTGAACGAACGAGTGAGTGAGAGCACGATGCCGCGAGAGCGCAGTTTCGCGCCACCGATATTCGCCGACACGGTCTCGCGAATCGACGAGGAGCAAATCGCATACCGTCGTTATTCGGCGGCTCGCATGGCGCGTGCCGGCAGAGCGTCGTCGCTTTAATCCCGACGCCATGCGAGAACGACCCGCCGTGCGAGCGAGAAAGAGCTAGAAAGGAAGAGGGAGAGAGAGAGAGAGAGAGAGAGAAGTGCGATAGAGAAAGAGCGCGAGAAAGAAGGGGGAAGGGAAAGAGAGAGAGAGAGAGAGAGAGAGAGAAAGAGCAGCGGTGTCTCGGCGAGTTTTCTAAGAACGACTCGTGTCCTTCGTAAAACGTATCAGCGTGCCTTTCTCGACACGAGCTCACTTGGCCGTCCCGTTATCCGTTGCAGTGCCCGGACTCAACTCGGCCGGTTACACGTATGTCCGGTTATTCGCGGCTAATATCGGCGTCGAGGACACGCCGGCGTGTCCGGTACGATGATGGCGCACGCCACAGAACGGCTCTGTCTCTCTCTCTCTCTCTCTCCGTCGCCACGAGCTCCGTCGTTGCGAGATCATAGCGAGCTCTCGCTGCTCTCGTCGTCGCCGTTGTCGTGGTC